CTGCAAAGCCTTTACCAACTGAGTAATTTAACGATTATTTCAAAGCAAAACATGGTGTCCACCCTTTGGAATAAATTGTTAGAATTTATTATGCAACCTTCAGACATGATGGTCAGAACACTACCAAATGAAATTAGGCTCCACAGCAAAACAACTTGAAGCATAAGGTTAGAGTTGCACAGAAATCCTTGTTTCAATAAGAAGTTACAGTGGCATGTAAGAGGTGGCAGATAAGCTCTGAAGAGAAAATGTTTAAATAGAAGCTATTTGATGGTATCACTGCTACAGCTAAAAAGCATCCTTTAATACCATCTGTACCCGCTTGTAAAATTTGCATTGTGTCCTCCTGTTGAAGCAAAAGCCACTAATAACTCTGAAGTGCAAATCATAAATACATTTTTACTTCTTACTGTGGTCCTACAAGCAGTTGGTGTTTTTTGAAGCCTGCATCTAGCAGCTCTCCCAAAAGATGTAGCTGTGCTGATCCTAAAGTGGAGGCTGGATTTTTACATGCAGCATCCTGACACTGAGTCTCCTTTTATCACTTCATGAATGTCATGACAATCATATTTAACTGGGAAAGAACAGGAACAAGAGCTGTTTTATTTGTCCTCATCTTCTTTATGTCAAATGTTGCAGGATGTGTATCCAAGTGATTGTTCTTTTCCAGTGTGTGTGAAAAAGAAAATGAAAGAAAAAAAATGCACTAAAACCCAACGTGAACCGTCCTGGCTTAGCTTGTTCCTGCTCTACTTTCAATAAGATTTTATTCTAACTAGTCCCTTCTATAGCATATTCTTGGAGAAAACAAAACAAAACAAAACAAACAACAAAAAACAACACACACACACAAAAAAACACACCATAGTTCTATAGTACATTAACAGTAAACACCTAGAGTTATACGGGTTCTATTTATATCAAATACTCACTATGGCCACAGACACAAATCATGCCATGCCAGCCCATACATTCCGTCTCATATATTTGAGAGAGAAATTTAACTCAAACGCATTTTCTAGAAAAGACAGCAAGAGAATTTCACCCTCCACAGCATCATCCCAGCCTGGCATTCACAGCAGAGCTGTTGTGGGCATTTCCATTCTGAGTCTAGTTTGCAGTGAATTCCCAGTAGTTAGAGACCAGTGTTGGATTCTCTTTATCTTAGAAAACTTATTCTGCTTTCATGTACACTTAGAATTGCATGCATGCAAACCTGCCTATGAATCAATGTGCAGACCTTCTCTACAGCAAGAGGGTGCCCACATTTGCCTTATTGCAAAGGTCTCCCAGGAGCAGAGCCATCCACATGAACCCTCTCTGCAGACTCAGGGCAAGGAGACGTTCAGCACATCCTCTGCTCCCCACGCACATAAAAGTGCTGTGTTTAGCTGAAATGGGCACCATTTCCATGGTGCGTGATTTATCTCTGCCATTAATTGGTGTTAGTCTTTTTATTTAGCTGTCTGTCTGACTTGTGAAATATTTGGAGAATTTTGAGGTATTTTTTTTTGTTTAGAGACCATTTTACAATCCTGCTAGTGCCATCTACTGCTGAATTTCAGTTCTAACAGAACACACTTTCAAAAGAGAAGCCGAGGGTCCTACCTGCTTGTAGGAACAGAGAAACTGCCCCACTGCATCTTTTTTAAAACCCAAACAGAACCAGAGCACAAATTGAATGTCATCATCCCGCTACCAGGGAGAAGCTAAGCATCCCTAGGGACAGATCTTTGAATGTTTTTTTATGGCTAAAAAACTAAAGCAGATAAAAACCTTCTAGATATAACACTACTGCTTCACAAAAACATTGCTGATTGAAGATTTGTCCATAGGGCAGACCTGTAGGACCTTTTCTATCCTCTCTAGGTCATCAACATATTTTCTGCACTTTTCTTTGAGTTTCTCCTGAGTTAAAAATCTCCATTTTGAGATTATTTTTTCCCCATAGCCAACCAGCATGACTGTCTGCACCAATCAGGTCAGGGCACTCTGCTCTTTGCCAGACCAGCCTGTATGTGCAGTGGACAGCAGAGCTCACCTCAGCCATTTCAGGGAGGTTCGGCTACTGGACACTGGCCCAGGACATCAGAAGGTCAGTGACAGAGACCTGAATGAGACAGAGGCATTTACAGAGTTTGATGTGCTATCAGATCTGAGGCTGCTAACTGGGAGGAACAAAAGACACAAAATACACCCACCAGGTAACTAAGACATCGACTGTTCCAAAGACAAATCCCTCTGTTTCCAGGCTTGCTTACAGCCTTACTGTCCTCCCACTTAAACATGCTCTTCATCTTGTGGTGCACAAGGGGAGAAGCTGTCAGAATATCAAGCAAATTCTGTCCTGGCTGCTTCTAGACTTTTATAGCATCTGCAGTTCCCTGAGAAAAGCATGATCCTTCACACAATGGATTGGAGGAGGAAAGAATTAGGATTTTGGCATGGGGCTGATAGCATTTTCTACATAAATCCAATCTATTCCTCATTGAGGAGTGTCCTCAGTGAATCTTATTTATTTATTTATTTAGAACCAGGAGCATAGGAGAACTAATGGAACTAAACCAGCATCTTTTCACTCTTCTGGCTACTAAATTTGCAGCCTGTCCTTGGGTTTTTCAGTTGGAGCACAGTATAGAAAACCAGATGGGGCTTTGATTGTTTTATGAACAGGATATTTAACATGGCTGCTTAAAATAGCAAGCAACTAGATTAGGCGTGTTAGACTGGAAGACTTTAAATCTCATATATAACTGGAAATGGCTTTATAAGCCTTCCTGACTGTAAACTTTCCTGTTTGCTTTCAATCCTCTATGCCCTAATAATCTTTTCTTGTATAACTAGAAACATGCCACCCTCCAAGAAATATCATTTCTGAGGCCTAAATGTGCACTAAAAGGCCTGACCCAAGCCCACCCATAGCAAGAAGCCTCCTGCGCAGGGGGCTGCTGAGACACTTGAAGCAGTCACCAGCAGAGCTCCTCCAGCTGCTCAAGTGGCCAGAAGCTGAATTGCCAACAGTGCTTGTGGTGATGTTATTTGAAAAGGAAGCCCTTAATGTTTCTCACTGGAGACACAGAGCATCATAAGAAGCTGAATTTTCATACTCTGCTTGCCTGTGCCTTAACCCAGGCAAAATTCCCAGGCTGTTTTGTTTTGGGTTGAGTTCAGCAGTCTCCACCTTTCTTCCTCACCTTCAATAATTGGCTACTACTCCTTATCTGTTCCCACCAGCAAAGGAGGAAAGGGAGCTGAGACACCGTGGCTCTGATGCCACAAAAGCATACTGCAAATACTCCTATCTTGTACATTTAAATAATCTTGCTTTGCCCTGGGGCTCAGCAAACACTGCCTTAAACAACAAGCAAGTGAAATTAGAACAGCCAAAATAAATTATCTGTTGTTGACAAAGCCACCCACCATGGGCTGGTTCAGGTGGGCTGAATGATGCTGAGAACTTAATTGTCTATAAAACTAAACATCAGATAATTGAGGCTGCTTAAATTAATTTCAGAACAACAAAAAAGATCAGCTTCTAAACAAAATCCTGGTGTTTCCAATAACAGTTGTGCAGCTGATACACCCCCTAGTGGCAAACAGCCTTTTCTCTTACTCTAGTATCAAACCAGATGTGAGCTTTTCCTCTTTCCTCCTACAAACACCTCTCTGCCCCTGGGTATTGGGGTTACACTGTTCCAGGATGAACATTCCTAATGTGCTGTAGTTCACATATTGCTTTTGTTATACTGCTCTAGATTAGTTTTGCTAGGGAATAGCAACATAAATGCAAGCAGGCAACTTGGAACAAAAGGCTCAAGCCCAAAAATAAATGAAAAAGGATTACTTTGCTGCACCATACTGTAGTTATTCCATCTCAATAGTAAGTAGACCAGTAGGAGCCTTTTAACTTAGCTGTTCAATGTATTAAACTTGATCTCACTTTTAGATCTCCTGAGCCATGCAAGAGCTGCATTTATTGTTCTGTAACAGCATAGTCAGGTGCTGAACCAAAGATAAACATCATGGTCAGCTCACTCAGTTTGAACAAAACCTAAACTCGCAGCCCGCACTCCTCTTCCTCTCCATCTGACCTAAATCTGTGTTCTGTAGCACCTCTGTAAAGCAAGTCAAGCTTGCTGTTTGAAGAACTACATCATTGGTTTGAGAAGTCAATGAGAGTCTTTGATACATTCACCACTACCAGCATACCTCTCCAAATGAATATCCCAAACCTCCAGGTGAATAACACTAATGCTTATGAGTCGAACCCTGTTGTGAATTTACGGCTTCATGTAGCACATAGGATTTTCCCCCTTGTTATGTCATGTCCATATCATCTGCCATAAAAGAAGATTTATAAATTATTTCCTAATGGAAGCCTATCAGGTTTTCTTAAAGACCAAACTGTTTGTTAAGGCTTCATGTGTTGATCCCAGAAAGACATTGTTTGTGGGGACAGTGGAAAAGCCATTTTCTAAAGGAAGGCAGTATGTTCCCACGGAGCCTACAACCCTACAGAAGCCCTGCAGAAAAATTCCTTTACTCCCTCCACACCTTGCTCAATATAAAAAGTGCAGAGCAGAAAGAAGCATAGTAGATCCAACTAAATCCAGTCCCCCTTTTCCTGATGAGGTAAGTGGCTCCTATGCAGCCTCCCTCTTATCCTCACCCCTTTGAGGGACCAGTTGATCCTGCCTCCTGGGCAGTCAAAGAAACTGCTCCTTATAGTCCCAGTTTCCCAAAGTGTCTTCTCTGACCCCTTAAAAAGGTCTGATGACTGTTATTTCTGGACAACTTCCCCAGAAAATTTATATGGTGGGATCTTTATACATGAGGGAGGTAGTTTGCAACCTCAGCATCCAGCATGACCAAGGGACATGGTACAGTCAGTCTGGTTTGCATAAGGTCACCCAGAGCTACCCAGAAAGAAATGACACATACAGGGATGAATCTGAAATGCCGCAGGATTTTCCCAAAACCATTTATTAATCTGTCAGCATTTCTTTAGTTTCGCTGTCATATCCAAGCTTTGGTTGGTCTTTTCTAACCAGATCCTATCTTACAAACCACACACTCTCGCTGAAGACAAAGTCATAAAATGCCTGTTGAATGAGCAGGCCTTATATCGAGGCCTGAACGCCTATTATTCACGTATTCTGGATTGCAGGATGACTGACAGCTTCCAGAGAGGAGAATTGTCTCACATCCATGCCTCGTTATCAGAACACCAGAGCTGTAAACTTCAGCTGTCTATTTGATCTGAGCATCTTGACGTTAATGTACAAGGAGTCAGTTGGTCTCCAAGGAGTACAGAACCAAAACATAATGAGTTTTAAAGCTCAAACCACAAACTCGGAATTAGACTCCACCTGCATTTCATAAACAGGATTATGCTGGACTAGCCTATTTTGAAATATGACCATTCTCATATAGCTGGGCTGCCCCAGTTCTGCCTCAGGCTTTGGATGTCTGCCTTCATTGGCCTTTGGTAGCTTATTCCACCTTCATCATGGACTCATGTAAAAGCATGGTCATTGGGTTTCTAGTGAGTTTTCCCTCTGCTGTGCAAGGAGTATCACACAGGTTTTTTATCAGTATCAGTTTCTACTTTGGGTTTGGGAAAAATAATTCAGAAGCAAACCTCCTTCTCAACTGGGGTTGATTTCATTCCAGCCTGTTAGGACATCTTTCATTTGGAAAAACCTCTTGCCATCTGGAACAAGAAAAATACTTCACAGCCCTTCAGAACTGGGCACCATTTTGCCAAGTTACATTATTTGACCGAAATGGTCCGTGAAATGCTTGCTAATTGCTACAAGATTTAAAAAGGAAAAGAACAGACCTGTTCAGTGGTGTTCCCCTGAAGCATTTTTGCTCAGAATGACACGGTGGTGGAAAAACAATGCAGAATGTGCCCTGCTCACTGAACACCAAATTACTGGGATCATTTTCTACCTGTGAAAGAAAGAAAAATATGTAAAGGTAATTATGACATTTTTCATTGTTTTCAATAAATCTAAGCCTCTAATTACCCAAACTATTTATGGGAGGGTTTAGATGAAGTGTGTTAGCTCTCTGTTTCCTCAGGGCTCAACAGTTATAGTGCTTGTTTCAATAATCCCAGGTTATTCTCTCATTTTACCTGGCCCCTTGCTCTACTAACCTGTTTGCATTCACATGTCTATGTAAAGAACACAACCTTTGCACTGGCATACTTATGTTTATATAGAAATTAATTGAGCCTGTTTCGGTCTGTTAGTTTGACACCAGAACAAAATATTGTGTTTTTGTTAACAACTATTTGCAGTCCAGGGCTATTCTTAAATTCCTGATCCTTCAACATTCTCCCTCAAATTTCTGTTCAAGTGGCAGTTTGGCATCCAGTTGTTTTCTCTAAGGTTTTCAAAACAAAACCAGTAACAAAAATCAAAGTGAGTTTAAGAACTCTATATCCTGAGAGCGGACAAGCTGAAACATCTTAAACAGATACAGGTCCATTAGAAACTGGTTTGCTAGCTAGATCTTTCTATGCAGAGAAAACTGAGCCCCAAACCAGGTTTGGCAGATGAGGATTCCAGCTCTGGACCTTGCTTGTCTATGGTGCTTTCATGTGTCCCCCTAACTCACCATCATGCCACAGCACAAGTGCCTCATGAGACTCTCTAGTTTCTTTGGAGAGTATGACAGGAGGCCACAAGGGGCAGTGCTGCTGAGCAGGACCTTTACAGAGGCAATGCTGGGTGTCAGGCATATCATTTTTACAGCCAAGTTAGATAAATGCTCTGTGCAGGTGTCTTTGGTGTATGCGTTTGATGGACTCCTCCATTGAAGCATTGGAGGAGCAAGATCTGGACTCCAGGGAGTAGAGGATTATTTGCACTGATGCTCCCCCTGTTTCTCAAAGGGTTTTCATCCCCCAGGTACTCACACTGCATGCACATTGCTTCCCATCCAGGCTCTTTAGTGAGCAATAGTGGCAAGGAGACAGATACTTTAAAGGACAGCACACACCACTGTCTGGACCTGGCAAAAGCCAACCCATGCCATGTAGCTTGGAGGCCACAGGGTGAAAACACATCGAGTACATGCATTACTGGAAAGACCAATAAAAGGCTTAGGGTAGCTACTGGGCTGTGCCTCCAGTTAAAATACAAACTCTGTGTCATGGATTAAACTCTAACTAAAATAAATCAGTAATCAGATTTCCAGAGATAGAGATCTGTTTTGTACAAGCACTCTGGCCTTGATCAAGCAGATTATTTCTGAACAACTTTAAGTCAATTGGAACAGTTCCTGGATAGACTAAAGACTCATTTATGTACATCTGAAGGTCTATTTCACTTGCATCAGCTGCAATTCCTCTACTTACCACCTCTGACTTGCTTATATCCTTAGACTATCATGGTTTTGTTACTGCTACTACTGTAACATGTAGGGCATATATATATCTGCAATCATATGGAGCCAATTAGGTGACTCATTGACCATTAACACCCATCATTTGGGTAAACACACCTACTTAATCCTATGATTTAAGCCACTGAAGGGACAGGTTTGAGGGAACAGAATGAAGAGTTTATTCCCACTAGAAATACTATGGTTCTCCTTCATTCTTTCCCTGAGAGACTACTGGGATTCCAGGTCCCTGCTCCTGGCCAGCCTCTAGAAAGCCAAGAAGTGTCTCATTCCTGCTACCTGTGGTCCATGCAAAGGATGCTTGGGTCTCACAGCTGGGTCTCAGTGATGCTGTTGGCTCACATGTCAGGGCCCGATGGATATCCCTCCCATTGAGATGAACATAACTACATTTTTCATGCTTTTTTAGTTTACCCAGGATATGAGCCAAAACAAAATCAACTCTCTGCTCCTCCCATTAAAAGGTTATTAAGGCTACAAAATCAAACACTCAAAATTGGGAAAAAACAGTATTACAGTTGGCAGAAGAATATTGATCTGCTCTCTCTGTGCACATATTATGTATGCAAGGTCACAGGATGCTTGCCTTATTGGTGCACAGGGTAGAATTGCTCTGGGTTTTCACTGGGGCTCAACATCAAAGCAAAAACTTGCCTGTAAGGTCTCTGCTTCATTTGCAGCAATTGTGGGAGCTCTGTAGTGAATGAGGCAAAATGTTAAAGGACAGCCTTTTGGATAAAAGCAGTTGGATATAGTCCCAGAAAACTGATTCCACCCCTGTCACTGCCACTGATTCCCTTTGAGCAAAGTAATTTCCTTAAACCAATCTTTTTTTTAAAGTGATCATCCATTATGTTCCTCCTTTTCAGGGACACAATACACAATCTGTGTGCTAATTTGCAGAATTGCCAAGCACTAACACAGATAAAATCAGCAGGAATTGCATAAACAGAATGGTTAGTTGTAGCCCAGAGATATGAAAGAGCTATTATTTTATGGAGATAGTTTCATACGTCCTCAGAGCTCTGGATAGGAGAAAAGAAGATCACAGAATCACACGACTGACAAGATCAAAGTTTTAGAACTTATGTTTTCCATCTTCAAAAAAGAAAAATGATGGTATTTACAATGAATAGGAATCATTGTTACATTGGCCACCACAGAAGGAAATAAGAGCACAAAATTCAGTGCTAGGAGGTAATTAAATGAAAGTAAGTATGTTTGTGTGATTTAAAAAGCCTGCAATAGAACTTTTAAGATTTTTTTTTTTTTTTGGTGAACAGTAGCTCTGCTAAAAGAAAAAAATAGTGCTTGGCATGGTACACTAATTTGTGTTGAACTGGGCAAATAGTTCTTGGAAAATGTACTTTTAAAAACTTAGAAAAAAAATATTAAGTAACTTCAAAGGCAAGAAAAAAAACAAAACCAAAAACCTACAACAACAGCTAACCCAGTGTTTTTTTTTGCAAACTGAAAAACATTTTTGTTTTGTTCACCAAACTATGGAAAAAGAGTATTTTTACAGTTAGGTGGATATACCTATTCTTAGAAGGAGAATCCTTCATATCCAGAAACAGGACTCAGAGAGTTCTAACTGCCATACCCCAAAATGGTCATTACATTTTCAAAGTTTGGAGTCTTCTGGGCTGGTTGAAGAACTGGCAGCTGACTGTGGCTGGAACCAGGTCACTAAGGACCTTCTTGCTACACTAACTGAATGTGTTTTTGTGGTTCCTTTATTTTCCTTATTGTTCTGATCCAGTTAAAGTGACTGCAGCCAAATTAAAAAGGCATAACTAGCTTATTGGGTTTGGCAAGGGTGATTGTTTAAGGTTTTAAAATTGCATTTTACACAGTTTAACTTATTTTAAGTTTGCATTTATGTTTCGTTCATGGTTTGAAGTCCTGGACAATTTTTCAAAGAACACTTTAAGTTATCACCATTTTTATTCCTGCTAGTATTGATCAGCCTCTTGGGAAATAACAAGCCATTCTCTTCTGCAGAACTGTAAATGCAAAATAGCATTCCGTTGAAATACATAAACCGTTTGCATCTCACCATGATCTGAGAATTATTAGCAGGGGCGTATCCTTTAATAACTTTGAAAAATGAACAAACTTATAACAGCTGGGAAAGGTTTTAACATACAGATGTTGTGGGAAATTTGCTGGAATTCATGATTCACATTTGAATTTAGAAACTGGATGAGATTAACCATTTTCTACAAATAGATCTTCATACTGGGCTATTTGGAATTCTGGCTTTTGAACAAATGTTAGACTATCATGTATAATCTAAATGCTTTTATTGGCAAATGAAAGGAAATTGTGAAATTGCTTTTCATAACCTTTGCTTTAATTAGGTTTCCACTTTCTCATTTTAATAGGCAGCCCCCAAAGAACTTAAAATTTGTATTTGTTACTTTCACCCTCAGAATCTATGCAAGCCCATCATATATGTTACTTTAAGTTGTCTGGTAGAAGCAAGACTATGGCCAGACAGGGGCTGACAAAATCAGACTGTATTTGCAGATAAGAGTATACCTGGATGAAACAGAAGTCCCTCTGTACAAATCTGTAAGTGCCTGCCAATTTACAGCCAAATTCTGTACTAACTGTAAATCCACATCACTTGCAGCAAAATTAGTATCATGAGGGTGCATACTGGAAGCTATTGAAGTCTTTTCCTTTTTCAAAGGTGTATAGGAATGGGTTTGACATGTGCAACCAAAAACATAACTGCAGCAGAGCCATGGATGAGGCAGTGGTAGAACAGCAAAGCTGGAAAGAGATTGATACAAGGACTGACATCTCTCAGTTTGTTTATCTTCAGCCCTTGCCCTCCCAGATCCTCATCTTTCCTCCCTGTTCTCCGAGTCCTGGGGCTCAGTGTTTGTTTGGTGGAATCACAACAGTGACAAATTTAAGATCCATGATGCCAATGATGAAAAGAGAAACACACAGAAGAGTGGAGAACACTTCAAAAGAAACAAAACTGATGAGCACATAAATAAAGCCAAAATGGCCTGGTTTAGCAACAAACTTGCTGATATATTCCAGATTAGAGAAATTGCTGTGTACTGCTCTCAGAAGTCTTTTGCTGGCATTAGCTGGTGATTCTCCTCCTTCCCTCCCTGTTTCTACAGGGAGAGTTAGGAATCACTGGATCTTACATGTTCCTCGATTTATGGCCTCAGAAGCAATGAAATCCACAGTGCCTTCTATGTCGGCTCAGAGCAATGATACAGAGCTCCCCATGGCCCAGAGACATACACGTGCTCTAACCTTGGCTGAACCCTTCTACCATTAGTCTTGATAATTGATGGAACCCAAGGAGAAATGACTGCAGTTTAATAACATTCGATGGTTTCTGGGTGACTAGTGGTGTGTGACTAAAGCAACATTTAGGTTAGGCATTACCCAATGCTTCTCAACAGAGGCCACAAGGGAAAAGGAAAGCAGGAAATGTGGAGGAAGGTCTCAAAAAAGTGGAAAATAATTTCTCCATACTCCTATTCTAACTTGCTTCTTTAGGAACATGGTATTTTCTGACCTGCTGATGTGGCAGATGATGGACTTTGGAGAGAGTTCTGTAGGTCTGAAATCATTGATTAAACTTGCATAAATAAGCAAAGCAATTTTACATCTGTTTCCCAGGTACAGAAGGGCTTAAATCTTCTCGTCTCATTTTCTGCTGACATAAGAGCAAAAATAGATCCAAAAATAATTATGGAAAACATTAAGGAAACAAATATATTAAGATCCATTTTGCTGGTGGCCTGTTTCTAATATCTTGCAGGACCAGAGCTCAATCATGTGGAGTATGGACACCTACCCACACATCCCCAAAGCCTCAAATATACCTAAGTAAAATTGACAATATTACTTCTTATGTTTGCACTGCCTATATTCATATTTGCCATATGTAGATATAAGTGTAACATTAGATATGAGCTCACGTTTCACTTAGATCATTCAGATTTTATCAGTCTTTAGTGATCTGAATACTCTTCCTTTAGCCTACTAATATTACTAATATTACACTGCCATCTTTCTTTGGCATGGCAAAAAAAATCAGGGCAGTTTTGTTCATTTTCTTACTGTAGCTATCACAGTAAGGTCCCCTAGAAAAAAATCCACTCGTGCTGGACTACTACACACTTTATGTAGTGTAGTATATATCAAGCTAAGTAAGGTATCTGTGTTTTTTCTTCTTTATCTTCTATTAGGATAACCACATGCTAATGGCATAGAAAAAAATATTTTACACTGGCATATTCCTCAGAAATGATCCCTGTGTAGGCAATTTTGCATTCTACTGGAATGATCTGCTTCCAAAAGGGAATATCAAAGACACCACAACCAAGAACTTTTCAACAGGAAAAAATACAGCTGGGTTTTCTGCACCAAATGGACAAAGTCTGTATCTTCAGCTAAAGATAATTGTTGAGGTCCACTAACATGCAAAAGATCACATCAGTTCACCAGCAACATAAGGCAATATACCTACATGGTTTAAAGCAATACACTACATGAGTTCAGTCCTCTTCATTCCTTTACGGCTATGTAATCGATGTTTGATCCATAAAGTTAGTAGGACAACTCATACCCTGGTAGCTATGGAATACACAACCCACAACACACAGAAAAGATTTGCTTAAAACATTTGGTAACAGAGATCAAAACTATACGGCACATAGAAACACAGCAGGAGATACCAACAGCTTCTCAATTCCCTGCAGTACTGGAGAATGCTTTTCCTTTTCAATCTGAATAAACGTGTCTGCATAGACAGCAAAATATAGGATCATAAGAAATGTCAGAAAATCTCATGGTCAATCTATTACCATGAGCTATGGTCAAAGGAGTGGTGGAGTCGAACTGTAGTCATGGCCAAATATTCAGGAGCTCAGCATGTAAGATGTTGAGTTGCTCTAAAAATCAGACTGCTTCTTCTGGAGTCTAGCTGGGAGCTGATTTCTTTTGAAAATCTGGCTGTAATAATGCA